CAGCACAGGGAAATATATTCAGTATCTTGTAGTAGCTTATGGTGAAAAAGAATATGAAAATAAATATATGTGTATCCATGTATGACACTGTTCTGTACACCAGAAGTTGACACAACATCGTACACGGACTCTACCTCAATTAAAAAAAAATATTGTGACCATTATGACACTAAATCATAACTGAAAAGGAAGTAAATAAAGAATGTAATTGAAATACTTACACTTGTCTTTTAAAACCTCTTTCATAATATTTGTGCAATAATTTATATTCTTTAGTCCTTAGCACCTAGTGTATAGTTATCTTTGTACTACTCTTTCATGACTTCATTTTTATGTGACCAGTTTCTAGCTTGTTATATATTTTGAAACACATCATCAAGAGGAATCATGCAAGGATGGTTTATCCTGAGAATATTAAATTTCCATTTAGTTTATGGGAAAATGTGGCATATTTAGTACAAAAGCACTGAAGGGTTAATTATTTCCCAGGCCCCAGTGCTTCTATGAATGCTGTGTAAGAGAATCAGCATTTGTTCTGTGTAGGTTTACATGTCTTAGAAGAACAAAAGATCTACTCATTAGCATGCTGTTAGCTTTACCGTGGGGGACATGCATGTACCCATCAGCACGCTGCTGGCTGTGGGGTCTGCGGTGTCCCGAAGCCTGTGTTTCCCGGCTTGTGGGCAGGGCGAAGACCCAGCTGGTACCAGGGCTCATACTGGCCCCTAGAGGTTGGGCTAGGTCTTCAAGCTTTGGGAATGCCATTATCTTATGGCTGATGACCACTCGTAGTTGGGTGAGGCTGGTCTTGAGGCTAAAGCAGACCCACTGGTGGGCAGAGACAGGGATGCTGGGGCTGGTGTCTTCCCACTGCTGGGTGGAGTTAGGTCCTGGGGTGTCTGGCTGAAGTGCCCTGCAAGATTTTTCTACTCCACCATCTTGGCCAATTCTAACTTTTTTTTTAAGTGGCTCTCTGGGAAATGTGGACTATCTTATATTCAATATCATTTTCCATAAGTATGTGTGGAATTCTGTAAGCTCCCCCATGAATATCAATAGAACACTTCCAGGATGAAAGCAAGGCTTATGGAATAATTCGTCATTTTTAATGTCAGTTCACTTAACTCATGATTAGACAATTATTACCAAAACATTTATTCCATTTAATATTAATATCATTCCACCTTTTTGTCTACTTGGCCTCAATTCTCGTTGAGCAGCATGAACAGTCTGATTTTAAAAAGCTAGTTATTTTAATGTCTACAAATAAAGTTTTTTTTTTTTAATCAAAACATGATTTGTCACACCCAAAACTGGATTTGTTTCTGATACTGAGATATGAAATAGTCAAAATCTTCCCTTAGGGAAGAGCAACAAATATCAATTCAAGAAGATGTAAATTCTATAATTTTATGCTGCTAAGATATGGCTTTATTTTTTTAGAGAAGTTTAATCTTATTTTTATTTTGTGCTTAAAACTAATCCAGGAATATCATGGCTGCATTTAGACTTTGATATTAACTTTCAAAGAGATTATATTTCTATAATTAAAATTAATTCTTCCCGTGTTCAACATGTCTAAACAGACCTTAAAAAATTCTTGGGTTCTAAAATACTCACGAAAGAATTTTATAGAAATAGTATTTTGTACTAAGGAATAAACACCTAGAGACCATTTAGATTATTTCATATCTAAAAGTAGCATTTCAGAAAGACATTTTTGCCAGTGTTTCAACTGCTTCTTCATCTGATCTTTACTGAAAAACACCCCAAACCCCGTGGCTCAAATCCACTTGGTTTTCCTGGTCTATGTAACCATTTTACATGTTTCACATGCCTCTAAACAGAACAAGAGAGAAGACAGGGTATTAATGCAATTTGTGGCAGTGGAGGGGGGTATTTAATGATACCAAGTGTATGTGAAACTGGACCCACACCCTCTCTGTTGCCCTCCAAAATAGAGAGAAATGGAAAGTTTTATAAGCCTGACCTGTTGCTGGATCTGTAAAGATTTTGGTAAATGTTCGAATTCTCAGAAGCTCTGGAAACTATTTTCATGGCTGGTCTACCTCAGAATCCTTTTTCGAACCAGTTAGTTTTGAAAAAGCAAGAGGCCCTTGTGGAGAGGTAGAGTTTCAATGAGGTTCAGGTATCTGAGCTTAATGCTGACTCTTGTCTCACGGACTAAGGCTATTTGAACTGGTGGTTGTTCACATTAGACATGCTATAAATATGGGACCTTTGACCTAAAGAGTGTAAACTCTTCCTAAAGGAACCTATTGAAAAATGCTTAACTATGGGCAGTTCTGACTTAATACACTCATCAAAATTTTAGTAAAAAGAACCAACATATTTCCATCGTCTTTTTGCATTTACAAAGCTTTTACAACATGCATTATGCTATTAAACCCATACATTTCTCCTGAGGGATTTATTGCTACCTCCAAGGATTACGTTCAAAATATTTAACCAGCAGTGCAGCAAGAGTAGAAAAGCGTCTGCTGAGCCGTTGAAAAAGTGTGGAGGAATGAAACGGTGGGCACGTGTCCAGACTGAAAGGTCATGGGAGATCAATTCATGATGAGGAACCAGACGGTGAAGGGGCTGGCCTGTCATGCCAGGGGATTTGGAAACAAAGACGTCTGGAAACAAAGACGTCTTCTGAGAAGATAAGTACCTGATTGGTGTTAAGTCATAGAGAACCCATTTGGGCAACAGTGTTAAAGGATGATTTTAAAAGTCATATAATGGAAATGCTTGACAATATTCAGGTCAGAAATGAAGAAGCCCTTAGTCCAGCTATTAATAAAAATTTGAGCCCTGAATATTTATACAAGACTGACTTGAGAAATATTAAGGAAGTAAAGTTAACGCAACTTGGCGATTACTATTGGATAAGTGGGGTGAAAGGAAAGGAAAGGAAAGGTCAGAGTTCGCTCCCAGGTTCCTGACTTGGTCAACTGGATGGAACTAGGGAGCTATGGAATAGGGATGAAACCCAAGATCTGAAGGGGAAAACAAGTTCAATTTTAAACATATTGAGTTTATTGGCATATAAACATAGTACCAGAAAATTCTCAGTATAGATCTGTTTCATAAGAGGGAGATAGACCAGAGATAGTTTCAGAGGGCAGTAGGTAGTTGAAACCATGAGAGAGAATTGGATGACAAATAACATGCAAAATGAGAAACAGAAAAATCCAATGAAAAAGGCCTGGTGAAGTATCAATGTTTTAATTTATAGTCTTTATATATATATATATATATATATATATAAAATAATTTTTACTGGTTAGAAAAGAAATATGGTTTTAATTTTTGAATTGTTTAAATGTTATTTTTCTCACAAGCTCATTGACATTCTAAGAGTAATTTCTTGATTTGCCCTCTGTGGAAAAACTTGACGAACTTTTTTAAATGGATTATGATTATTTAATTTCACAATAACATATCACTGTTAAAATATAATTGTATATATAATTGTAATATATATTGAAAATATAATATTTTCAGTGAATACAAGTTTTCAGTTAATCACTTGCTCCAAGCAGTCCAGAAACCAACTCTGCTTTTTTCCAACACTCTCTGATCTGATGTCTGCTGTCAACACTCTCTTGAAACTCTTCTTGTCAGAATCACTAACAACTTTCAGGTTTCCAAAGCCAATGAAGTGTCTTTCTGCCATCACCTTATCCACTCTCTCAGTACTGGCACTTTTCATTATTCCCTTCTTGAAACTTTTCCATATACACATTTGCAAATTCAAGGATTGACTCTCAAAAAACTGGCAACGATGGTTGACTCTGAGAGGCAGGGGGAGTTACCTTTTACTGAAAAAATCTTTTATAACTTTTGCATTTTTCCCGTCTGTTTGTATCATTTATTCAAGCAAATGATACAACTTTATAAAAAGAACAAGTGCCAGGAAGATGTAATTTCTGAGACAACATAGTTTAATCATTTAGTCATTATAGACTAGAAATGGAATATACATACTGTTCCGAGATTGATCTGATGTTGCTCTCACCATGTTTTAAATGATTCTACAGTTGTTAAAGGCATAGTATTTTAGGTCTTCTGATTCTAAGCAAGGTCCTTTGTTTAGAGTGGTTTATCCTTCTTTAAGTATCAGGACTTGTCTCACAAATAAGAAGTCCTAAGATGGATAGATAGTTCAGGATTGATCTGACAAATCAGCAATGGTATCAGAAACTCAAGTTCTCTCCATGTTTCTACTCCAACACTCTTAACATGAAATGTTCTGTTATTGTGCTTTTTGTCTCAGAAACATGAGATGCCTGGCTGTTCCACCTGCAAGCCAAGTCTGTCATAAAAGAGCAAACTGTAAAACATACACTGATGAGCTGATGTCCTTAAAATCTTTTCCTGAAAGAACCACTGAATAACATCCATTTACCTCTTGGCTGTAAGTGTGTCATGAGGCTTTGTTATAACTTCGTGAAATGAACATTAGTTAAAGGGGGCACAGGGTGGCAGACAGTGAGCCGTGGTTCAACAAATGATCATAAGAGAAACTGAAATAGAGAAGTTTGTTACTCGCGGGTCCTAGAGGAAGTCCACAGCACACCTTGAGGGGCCACAGGACGAGGGCAATGCAGACTGCAGACAGATGGAGAGAGGCAGGACCTGGGGCACTTGCCTTTGTTAGGTCTACAGGTAGAGTGCTTTGGAGCTCCTGGCCTAGGGCTGGACCGGTCAATTCAAACCAAAAACCCCACAGAGGTCTTATCTAAGGAGAGCATAAGGTATACAGGTGCTGGGAGGCGGGAGATTGTTATCATAAGGGCTGTTGGGGAAGTCATATCAGCAAATTACATTTGTAGCTGTAGCTGCTGTCTTAGGGCACGCGCTTGCAAGAGGGTGCTAGTGTCGGTTTAAGGCTGTTTGGTTGCTTGGCCAAAGTGGATGCTGAGACAGTAACACCACATAGAAGCATAGCTAGACTTTTGACAGGCTTTCCCTTGATACGAAGATGACGTGTGCTTGCTTAAACAGCACATATACTAAAATTAGAATGATAGAAGATAAGCATGCTCCCTGTGCAAGGGTGACATACAAATTTGTGAAACGTTCCATATTTTTGGGACCAGCTCTTAAATGTTCTCACCACAAAGAAGAAATGATATTTATGTTGCATGATAGAAGTGTTAACTAACACTATGGTGGTATTCATGTTGCATTATATAAATGTATCAAATCAACACATTATACACCTTAAACTTACACAATGTTTTGTGTCAATTATATCTCAGTGAAAAAAAAAAATCTCGAAGATGACTGGAGAGCTAAGTACTTTTGCTGGGCATGTTTCTGTCCCAGACTCATTCCCGAAATAAGGGCACTGTTATTAAGAAAGAAGGATGTTAGATTGGCAATTGCCACAAAGCACAAAAACTACGGAGTAAGAATTTTTCTGCATTCTGGAGATAGAACAGGAAGCAAAACAGACAAAAGTTTGCTTTCAAGGGGCTTTCCTATTATTAGGTAGAACAGTCATGTTTGTGGGTAAAGAAACAGCTAAATATCAACAATTTCGTATGATCCATCTTACTAACAACTAAGTAAGCATTTCACTTACTAAATACAAATAATTATTTGATGATAATGCTTCTCTATAGTAGAGTCTAGAAGGCATTTTAGTTTACAAAGTTGGCTCTTGTGATGAGGTGGGCTACATAGACAGACGTGCTCAAACTTGTTCAAATAGAGAGATTTCTTATTTTAAAAAAATCACAGAGATTTGATAAAAGAAGTCTCTGAACAACAGCAACCTCATGAAGACTAGTGACAGTAGATGGTTTTGAATTCCAGTTGACTACGGGGAATTCAATAGCAGTAGTTTTTGGATCTTCATTCTAGTTTCTTTCATTAACATTCCTTGGCTGGTACATTATAGTTAGACTCCTGTCTTCCTGTAAGCTGGATGTCAGTGACTTTTTGTTGTTATAGTCTGTCTGATATGGATTCTTCCAACTGGCATGTCTGCCTTTACCTTTTTTTCCCACTTCAGCCTATGGTATTATTAGGGAAACTTTTTTTTAAATTTCCTTATATTCTTCATTTATAGACTAAATATTTGTGTTCCTCAAAATTGAAATGTTGAGATCATAACCCCCAAGGTGATGATATTCGTGTTGGTGCCCTTGAGTGGTGGCTAGGTCATGACAGTGGAGCCCTCATGAATGAGGTTAGTGCTCTTAAAATAGTGGCCCTGAAGAGGTCTTCTGCCTCCTCGGTCATGTGAGAAGTTATAGTAAAACAAGTGACTATCCAAGACTCAGGACGCAGGCTGCCACCAGACACTGACTCTGCCAGCACCTTGATCTTGGACTTCTCAGCCTCCAGAACTGTGAGAAATAAATTTTTGTTGTTTATAAGTTACTTAATCTATAGTATTTTGTTACAGCTGCCTCAACTATAAGATACCCAAGTTTCTGATTTCAAATTCCTGAAAGAGATGGATAATCTGATTTATCAAGATCAGGTATTTCCATCCCCCCCCAAGATTGCATAAATTACAATTTGAAGAGTAGCCCATGGTTATGTTGCCTGTGGGTCAGAAGCTCACCTTAGATCAGTAACATGTCTCCAAGATACTCAGAGTCACTTCTACATGGTACTTACTTTAATATCTTATATACAGCAAATCCTTTACAACTAGATTATTCATTTCAGCACTTCCTTCGGTGAGATATAGTGTGTGGACATTTTAATTATCGAATTTATGATGAATTGGTTCAGGCACAGAGGAATAAAGCAATATTATCTGTAAAGGAGATGATAGTCATTGAACATGCTTATTACTTGTCCCAATTATAAAGTCAGAAGTGAGCAAAATATGTTACTTTCAGTTAATGTTAATATTTCACCAGCAACTACAATGATATTTAAGGATATTAGTGCTAGAAAAGACCAGTCAGATTATCTAGTGCTCAGAATATTATAATAACCTGATTGATTGAATCAATACCTTTCAGAATGTGTTTCATAAAGATGCTTTAGAGTCTCTATAAATAATTTCATCAAATTTAGGTTTTGGTATTTTAAACTAGTTAAAACAGTAATATGATGTGCCATCTGAAGCACAAATATGTAGCAAATATTAACACAGTGGAGGATGCAAAAGTGTTACCATGTATCCTTAATGCAATTAATGTAACAGCATAATTCATATTTATTAAATTAAAAAATCAGAAATTGTGATAAAAGAAACCTGGAATAAAGCTAACAGAGTCACAAAGCTAGCTGTTATCTTGGAGCATTTTTTGAGCCTGAATGAACTCATGACAGAAATAAAAAGATGTAAGCTGTGGAAATCAATATTGAAGACTCTTGTATAAATATAGGACTTTAAGTGGCTACGAATCCAATGTAAAAGTGAGCTAGAAATAAGTCTGTGAACCCCAAACTCCAGGAACTGAAAGCAAAATTACCTGTCTGGAAACCTGACACTGGGTAAAGAGGGAAAAATTACCTCTGAGAATGCATAATTATAACAAGTCCTCAGTTGGGTTTGCAGCCCACAATTCACATTATTTGAGTGGTTAAAAGTAATATTAAGAATATCTTTTAAAACTAGAGTTTGTAGTTGGTAGAGCCTACAGTCACCTGGCAGAAAAAAAAATACTTATCTTTTCCGAAGAAATTCCAACTTTAAATTAGCTCTCAACAAACTCACTTAGACAAAGAGATTCAAGCAATGGAAAGTTATAGGGAAAAAATTATGGGCCATGCAAAGAAACAAGATACACTGAGTGAGAAAAAGCAGAAGATGGAAGGATCAAACTGAACAAGACTTCAGATAGCAATGTCATATTTAATATATTTGAAGAAATAAGAGAAGGGAATCAATATATGAATAAGCAAAAGGTGATTTTGGATCTATGAAGATGTGAAAATAATGAACTAGAAAAGAAGGTAAATTTAATAGTATATGAAGACAGAATTAGAGACCTGATGAATAGATCTGTAGAAGTTTTGGGACTGTAGCCCAAAAAAGGCTATAGAATGGAAAATGTGAAAAAAAGATTAAGAAGTATGGAGCAGACTCGTCTAACTGACATTTAATTGGAGTTTCAGAAAAAGAGGAAAGGTCTATTAGGAAAGAGGCACTGTTTGAAAGAATAATGGGTGAGAATTCTTCAGAATTTATTAAAGACATCAAACTATAAATTAAAGAAGAAGAAATATCTTAAAAATCCACATCTAAGCACATAGTGAATCTGGAGAATGCCGAAAAATAAGAGAAAAATTTAAAAGCAACCGGGGGGGTAATAATAGATTACCTTCAAAATACTGTACCTACAATTAGACAAATAGCTGGTTTTTCATTGGCAACAGAAAGAACCAGAAGACAGTGATGTGATCACTACAATGAGCTAAGAGAAAGTAACTATCATCTAGAATTCTATTCCCGGTGAAAATATATTTCAAAAGTAAGGTAACCAAAAAACAAAACAAAAACCAAAAATATCAGGGAGTTTTCCTCAAAAAAACGTTTTGTAGGTTTACAGGAAGAAGGAGTGATCCCAGATGGAAGCCCTGAGTAGCAAGAAGGAATGATAACTGAGAAACAAGGAATTAAAATTAGACATACATAAAAGACTTAGTAAGAGTTCAGGCCAATGCTTCAGATAATGCCAGGTCCACAACTCCAGATGAATTATGTCTTTAGCAGATGTGACGACGAGGCAAGAGGTGATGGTCTTTAAGGCATGACAGAGAAGAGGAAAAGTTGTCAATAGATTATATCTAATGATTTTTAGTTTATAAAGCAACTGCAGATGCCTGATTCTAGCTCTTATTATCTGCTACATCCTAGGCATTGTGCTGGGACAGGAGTTGGCAGACTATGGCCCGCAGGCCAGTTTCAGCTCACTCTTTGTTTTTGTGCTAAGATAGATGGTTTGGAAAAAAAAATCAAAAGATTTCATGTCATGTAATGTGTATATGAAAAATCAAACGTGTCCATAAATGAAGTTTTATTAGATCACAGCCACACCCATTTTTTAATACATTGTTTGACAGAGTTGGGGAGTTGTGACAAAGGCTTATGATCTGCAAAGCCTAAAATATTTATTATTTAGTCTTCTACAGAAAAAAGCCATCAGTTCCTAGGCTAGATGCACACATGATATTATCTGGTTAACTTTAATCCAAACTGTGAACGTTTGTATTTCATTATTTTCCAGATCCTGTCCAAGGAGCTGTGCTGTGTGACCACCATTATCTCTGTGGTAAAATGGAAGCTTCGAGCATTTAAATGACTTATACAACATTACACAGCTTCCATTGGACTTATGTTGGTCTTTTGTTCACAAAGACTACACTCTTTATACCACACCATAGAGCTAGAAGACTGGAAAGATGGCCAGATATTTCACGTCTCTTTTCCAGTGGAGAAAAGGATACTCTAGAAATTGTATTCTTATGAGTTTCACTTTAAATTTCAGAAAACAATTTCAAATAAATTGCTAAATGAGCAGCTATAAAATGTAAGAAAAGTATTCACCAAGAATACTTCCCTGCTTTGACCTGGACCATAAAACATTTCAGATAAATAAGATATAAGAGAAATAAAATTATAAACATATGAGTAATTCAAAACACTGTATAAGATAACAGGATTTTTTTAAATTAAAACAAGTTAAAAACAAAATTCACAACAAAATAACATATATGTTGTAAGGGAGTCATCAGAATTAAAGATCTTTGTTCAGAGGTCAGTAAAAACATTGAATACGTTTAAATGTTGGTAAGTTATAATTTCATGTTTAAATTTTTAGAGTAAGTAGTCGAAGAAAAGAAATGGAATAATAACTTGACTAGATTATACGTATATTGCCCATTTTACTAGCCTAGGATAAAGCATTCTGTTTGTTTGTTTGTTTAACATTTTTTATCGATTTATAATGATTTTACAAAATTGTGTCAAATTCCAGTGTAGAGCTCAATTTTTCAGTTATATATGAACATATATATATTCATTGTCACATTTTTTTCTCTGTGAGCTACCATAAGATCTTGTATATATTTCCCTGTGCTATACAGTATAATCTTGTTTATCTATTCTACATTTTGAA